CCAATTCCCAGGCTCAAGCAAGCCTCCTGCCTCTGCCTCCCAAACAGCTGGGTCCACAGATGCCTGCCACAACACTTGGCTATTTTTTCATTGCAGCCATCATTGTTGTTTGGCGGGCCTGGGCTAGATTTGAACCCGCCAGCTTAGGTGTATGTGGCTGGTGCCTTAGCCACTTAAGCCACAGGCACCAAGCCTTTTTTCTTTTTTTAGAGACAGAGTCTCACTTTGGTAGAATGCTGTGGTATCACAGCTCATAGCAACCCCCAATTCCTGGGCTTAGTTGATTCTCTTGCCTCAGCCTCCCGAGTAGCTGGGACTACAGGTGCCCAGCAGAACATCCGGCTATTTTTTCGTTGCAGTTTGGCCAGGGCTGGGTTTGAACCCACCACCCTCGGTATATGGGGCAAGACCCCTACCCACTGATCCATAGGCACTGCCCCTCAGACTGGTCTTGTCCTGAGCTCAAGGGATCCATCTGCCTCAGTCTCCCAGAGTGCAAGGATTACAGGTCTGAGCCACCACACCCAGCTGACATACCTTATTTTAATGGCTATAAATATATCCTATGTAGATTTTTCATAATTTACTTAATCACCATATTAGTAGACATTTACACTGCTTCCAGTATTTCCCTCATTTAAATAATGTTGCCATGAACACCTCTGGAGATAAAGCTTTTCCTATCTGGGGGCTATTACCCTCTTAGAGCATACTCCTAGAAGAGGAATTGCCAAATTTAAAAAAGAACATGTATGATTAAGGGTCTTAATATATATTTCCAAACTGCTTTCCAAAAAGCTGCAACTGGCCAGGCGTGGTGGCTCACGCCTGTAATCTTAGCACTCTGGAAGGCTAAGGTGGGTGGACTGCTTGAGCTCACAAGTTCAAGACTAGCCTGAGCAAAAGTGAGACCCCATCTCCACTAAAAATAGAAAAAACCAAGGCAAGAGGATCACTTGAGCCTGAGCTGGAGGTTGCTGTGAGCTGTGATGCCAGAGCACTCGACCTAGGGCAATACCTTGAGACTCTGTCTCAAAAAGAAAAAGATGCAACTGCAATATAAGAGGTGAAAAAAATCATAATTTGGAGAGAGACGGTTCTAGGCTGGGCTATTTACTTGCTATGTCATTCTGAATTCTATTTTTGCCAGCTGAGAAAGTCAGGAAAAAAGCCTAGAGATGCTGAAGGGATAAAACAAAATAACATTTTTTTTTTTTTTGAGACATAGTCTGACTATGTCAACCACAGCAGAGTGCTATGGCATCACAGTTCACAGCAACCTCAAACTCTTGCGTTTAAGCGATTCTCTTGTCTTAGCCTTCCAAGTAGCTGGGACTACAGACAGCCACCACAACACCCGGCTATTTTTTTTATTGTTATTGCAGTTGTCATTGTTGTTTAGCTAGCCCGGCCCAGGTTTGAACCCACTAGCCTGAGTGTATATGGCCAGCATCCTAGTCTCTGAGCTAATAATGGGCATATGCTTACATAATAAGCACTATATCAACCTAGAGCCAAACCTCAGTAATTCCTCACAAATTAAATGTAGAACACATACGCTTACTTCTCTCTCTAGAAAATCCACTAAAATGATAATTAAGGAATAAAAAGGGTACATACTACCTCAAAAGATAGAGAAAACAGAGGAACAGATAATAGCAGAAAAGAAATGTTAAATTTTAAAAGCTGAAAGGGGAATGGACCAGTGGCAATCAAGAATAACAGAGAAAAACTGAAACCTAATTATATCTGGTGAAGATGGGGAACCCATAAGTAGCAAGCCAAACTGCCTCATAAAACTCCAAAAAGGTGTAAGAATTGAAAGAAGCATACTTCCAGGACAAAGTATGGCATGAGGCTGATAATAATAGGATAATAATAATAATAATAATCCTAGGCTCGGCGCCTATAGCTCAAC